GACTGACCCCGGAGCACCATCACCAGAGCTTCAATCGAGATTCCTGCCACCCGTCATTGGCACGCGGCCCAGTCTGCCCGCGCTTCAATTAGACGACCCTCCCCACCCTTGGAATCGCAGACTCCTTATCCTGCATCGGAACACCTCGACCTCCATCCCGAATTGGTGGAAGAAAAGTACCTCGTTCTACCAGAACCTTTGATAGGGCTGCTCTTCTCACCGTCATCGCCCTCCTTGTAGTCAGCAGCTTTCTTCTCTTACTCTTATCAATCCCGAGCTTCACAGCGCATATCGCGCCCCCGATCTTGAGGACGCCTCTTATGCAGCAACCTCACGACGACCCCCACCGGCTTCCTCTTCCCGGCGCATATCTCTGACACCATCGGATCACCTGACACCATTGGGGCCCTGCTCACTCGCTTCTCAACCATACTGCACCATCTACCCCCTCTGTGACCTGTCAAGTCCAATCCAGTCGCCCTCTGTACTATCATAATCCTACTTGGAACATCGGCTCGTCCTGTCATGGGATTTTGGGTTGACACTTCCAACAATAACTTACACCGCCAACATACTTCCCTACGGCCATCCGAGTTATTCTGAAGGAGGAGAAGGGGAAGGACCGGCCTACAGTGGTGTTGTTGCAAACTCTAAGCCTCAGCTCACCGTCCCCGGCGTGACTGCTCGGTTTTCTCAACTCGAAATCAACAGATCTTCGATGATAGACATGGCATCGGTGCACCAGCTGGGAGTTGGGCCGACGCCAGCACGCCCCCGAAGTATGAACATGAACGGATCTGGAAGCCACGATGTCGACATGGACGTTGACCGAAATGGAAGCCCTGCTGTTGTCGCGAGCAACACCAGGTTTGGGAGTGCTCCTCAGCGAGGGGACACTAGGATCGTCGTTATCATGTTTGGTTCTGGTCAGGACAAGATCGTCTCAGTCTTTGCCGATGTTCTGGGCAAACCGTTCGCTATTCGTTCTTCCTTCAAGGAGGTCAGCGCTGCGGATCATGGACTTGTCATTGGCATGCCGGCGGAGCTTGCAAAGAGCGACATCACCTCGAGGAATAAGGAGGTCGTTGTGGTCATCAACGCCCACTGTGTCAATCTTGGCATGCCGCCAGACATCTTCCTTTCGGCCGAGTGTGACTACGAGTTTCTGTACAGCGAAGCCCCTTTCTTCCGCCGGGACCTAGCAAGATTCATCTCCTTCACCTTGGGACAAATCAGCCACCACGAGACATTGATGTCAAAACCAAGGACATACTTCATCTCTACGACGTTTCCCGACGTCAGTGCGGCATTGCCGAACATCGATATTCTCACGGTTGGTGCAGATGCTGTGGAAATTCGTGTCGATCTTCTCAAGGAACCACTTGGTGACGGTACCTATTCTGCTGTCCCTAGCTTGAGCTACGTGGGAGAGCAACTCATGCTTCTACGCCAGCGAACGGAGCTTCCCATCATCTTCACGACAAGATGTACCAGAGAAAACGGACGATTCCCGATGGAGAACCCTGATGTCTACTACGAGTATCTGTATCGTGCCATTCAGTGGGGCGTCGAATACATTGACGTGGAACTATGGCTGCCCGAGGCCATCCGCAAGAAACTCTGGGAACAGAAAGGTAGCAGCCATATCATGTCCGCTTTCCACGACTTCTCCGGTACTTTCAAATGGCCTTCATCGCATGCAGAGCAAGTGTATGTGGAATCAAGCAAATATGCCGACATTATCAAGATGATTGCCATCATCAACGACCATAATGAAAACTTCGAGTTGGAATACTTCCGCTCAAAGATGAGGGCAGACTACCCAGACTCGCCGCCTTTCTCGGGAGTCAATATGGGAGAGACGGGACAGTTCTCTCGCACGTTGAACAGAGTCTTCACTCCCATCACGCATCCCTTGCTACCCATTGTGGCAGCCCCGGGACAGATGAGCGCCTCTGAAATCAACGCGGCCTTGGCCCTTTTGGGACAACTTCCTAAGAAGAGCATATACGGGATCACCACGCCAGCGTTCCGAAGCTCGACTCCCCAGGCCCCCTTTTACGAAAAGTGCTTCAACGAGCTTGGCCTTCCCCATTACTTTGCTGTTGTGGAGCGTCTTCCCAACAACTTCCAGGCGATGGAAGCGTGGTGCAACCAAAAGAATTTTGGCGGTGCATACCTTAGCCCCCCTGTCTCGTGGAGCGGTCTGCTGAAACACAGCCCTTTCTTTGCGTCGTTGAACGGGGGAAAGGGACCGGAGTTGACTGAAGCCGCTCGTCTCATCGGAACTGTGGACACGATTATTGTCAAGTCAGCATCGTCATCGTCGGCCAACTCAGCACCGGCATCCATACCGTCGAGCCCGCGGCACGGACATCACGATTCCTTTGGCCATCTTGGTTCGGGCGTATCCAGCCTGTCTCCTAACACGTCTCTGATACTTGACAATGCCAGCTGGCGAGGCATTATCAGCACTTTGACGAGAGACATGGCACCTTCAGCATACTTTGGACGGACAGCCGTCGTTCTCGCTTCATCAGGTGATGATGCTGCGTCGATAATGTACGCTTTGAAGGCACTTCAGGTTGGCAAGATATACACAGTCGGTTTCCGAACACCCCCGGCGCTCGCTCGGGACGGGCCTGCGATTGAACCTTTCAACAGCCTCGAAAGCCTGAAGAAAGCACAGACTGTCGGCGACGATGCGGCTCCCTTCCTAGTCGTCTCAGCCCTGGGACCAGAGAAAAGCAACATTGTCGGCATGCTTGTTCGCGTCTTTGGTGCCAATAACCAAGGAAGCTCCAATTTCAAGAAGGTCTTCCTTGACCTCGCAGATACTGCGGGTGCGAGGAAAGGCGGCGATCCTAGCATCATCGCTCAGCAGGCCGGATTCTCCGCATATGGGAGTGCTGATACCGCTGCTTTTACGACGGTCGAGACTCTGAGGTTGCTCGTCGGTCAGAATGTGCCCTACAGCTTCGTCAGACTGGCAAGTGGCAGGAGTTTGTTCTGAGAGGGGGGAAGAAGACGACAGCTCGGGCCCTCAAATGCCTTGCACTGGGCAAACGACTTGCATCAAAAAACGGATAAGAATCATGGCGATGCGGATATCCAGCCCACAGCCTCATTCCAATGGAACCTTGTAGCAAGCCTTGCACTGCAGATTGAGCCAGCCATAATCAGTGCGACACGACCAAGAGCGACGAGGACGCTTCGACAAGCTCCGGGTCCACAGAGAGCTAGACCACACGGAGCGGCATGGGGTTCTCTACGACAGCCAAGCCAGGCTATCGGCCGCCACCCCAAGTGCGGAGAACGGAGGGAGCAAGAAGCGAGCCAATTCCCTCAGCTGCATTTCCACAACGTTCTCCCCACGGAGAACCGGGGGGCGGCTGGAGGCCCACCATGTCATTTCCGATTGCCAGGACTGAAAGAACCGCAGATGATCGTGCGGATGCGGAAATGGGCACTGGCAAGTCTGTTATGACTTTGCTTTCATCCTGATTGCGAGACCTCGCCAGGAGAGGGAGGATACGAGGAAGAGTTCAATGCATGTACGGCGTTTAAGTGACAAAGGGAAAGGAGACGACTTGCGGAGAGCATTTACATGATTTACTTCCATCCAATCTATGTACGCACGAGGCCAGACTAGCCCGGCCTCCTGCTTTCTCTGAAATGTAAGGTTTACTATGTGGGCGCTACATAGCCTGCCAATGGCAGCGCTGGTTTTGACAAAGAGCCAATTTCATATCGATCAAGTTCACCGGCCTGGCTGTCGCAAGTCTATTTGTGCTGTGTTCATTGTGTTCATCTCAACGAAACCACCTGCCGTCTATGAAGGTGAAGCTCGCGATCCTGGCCTGAAAATCATGAATGCTGACTCAAGTCGTCGATTCAACGACCCTTGCCGTGGCAGACTTTTCTAGAAGCGACATGGGTTCTAGTCTTTTCAGGTCGGACTACGGAGGTCTCGGGCAAGTGACGAGTCTTTTGTCGTGCTGGATGCGCCTGATCCAGACTGAGGGCGATTTCCGGAGTACGAAAGCTCAAGACCTTCAGTTGTCAACACGTAGGCTCGGTGAACATTTCCACATGATTTTTCTTCCAGCTATCACCAGGCTCGATGTATTGCAGTGTCATATAGCCACATCTGTCTCCTCATTGATGAACCTTCTGAATGGTATTCATGAAGCTATCGCAAGGAAGGGGGGTTATTGGTCAAAGTGCTGCGCCGCAACTTCGAAATCATACGAGACTAGTAGCTCGGCGACCTCTTCTTCCTACGCTTTGCTTGCGACTGGGGACTTGTTGACCTCAGAGGCCCAGGATGCTATGGAATAGGATTGGAAGGGATGGAAGCTGTTGTCGTCAACATGTCACTAGGGGTATGAACCCTAAGTTCCTGCAACAGACTCGACATGTCGTGATGTCCGCGTCTATCTCAGACCGCATGGTTACATTCCTAGGGAGCAGATGGTCAGCAAATGTGGCTGACATGATTAGACGAAAGCGATCATCACCACCGTGGGAGAGGTAGAGAGGGAGATGACGCAGACCACACTGAGAGACGTCTCGGCAAGAAGCTTTTCAACAGCAGCTGATCGTTTGTGGGAAAGGACGAGACGGGAGGAAGGCCGCCGAGCTGAGCCGTGTAAGTCAGCACCGGTGGCCTGCAGGAAGCACCCTTTGCTCACTCCTATGGCTCATGAAACATGTCCACAGGCTTCCGTTAAGCACCAAAGGTAAGGTGCTCTGGGCAACCAGAACTATCCGTGGGCTGGACAATTGGACTGTGATGTAGACAGCTTCAGCCACCGGGCGAGCGTGAACCCATCACGACCCCTGAGCCATTGGAAGCTGAAGGGTAGCGGCAGAAGGAGGGGTCGCCACGCCTGCTCGGGCCGTTCAAAAGACCATCACTATCCAGTCTAGATGAGTGACGTGTAGGTGAGCCCCTCCAAAGAGAGTAACCTCATCATGCAAGGGCGGGAGAGCAAAGCTAGCCCCCCCCCCCCCCCCCCCCCCCCCCCCGGCCTCGGGCCCCGTGCATCGGGCTGCG